CTCCACATTCTTTAGGATGGCTCTATATGCTCCCATCAAAGCAAAAAGAGAAAAAAATATATTAGATGGTTCTGTGTATGACTTGGTTTGCAAATAATAGGGTACAATTCTGCATTAATATCCTGCAATTATTCTACCAAAATGGATGAGAGATGGACAAGAATGAATGCCTCCTTGCTCAAATTTCATTTTGTGTGGGATTTGGACAGGAAATATATGGTTTATGTGCCCGGTGTAAGTTAGCTTGGTATGGTGTACTTAATCCTGTATCTGACTTGTCTGTTTCCTATGCCAGAATGAATATCTTGGAGGGATTGTATATGTGGAAAAGAAAACATTAATCTTTCTATAATAAAATAAATGTGTTTTATTTCCACTCAGGACATTTATAACACTTGTCAGTAGCAAATTATCAGGCTTATGTTTTCATGTGCAGATGTCAAAAAATAAATGACCATGCAAATAAAAGTCTAGTGTTTCTGTCTGTGTAGCACAACAGAAGGCATTTATCAAGGATGCACCAATGTTTTGATCAGATATGCTACTATAGAGAAATTGCTTATTGGGGTGGCCGATACCACCCCCGGTTAGTTTTCTATTCCCTCCCAAACTCAAACTTCTTTCCATGGTCATTAGGTAGACTCAGTCCTTACTGTGGGGCACCCCTAACTTTTTCTTTCTTAATTTAAAAAAAAAAGTTTTATGAATTTCCTCCCCCTCTGTCTTGTGTACAGATGATGGCTATGTAAAGATCTATGCTTAGGCTGCATCCACACTGCAGAAATAATCCAGTTTAACACCACTTTGACAGCAGTGGCTCAGTGCGATGGAATCCTAGGATTTGTAGTTTCTTGTGGCACCAGATTTCTCTAACAGGGAGAACTCCCCAAACTAGAAATCCCATAGTTCCATAACATTGAGACATGGCAGTTAAACTGGGTTATTTCTGCAGTGCAGATGCAGTTTTGAGAGTAAATTCATTGTTAGGATATTTAGCAGGGGTGGGGGATCTGCAACCTTCCATATACAGTTAGGACACATGGGAGTTGGAGTCCAGTGACATCCAAAAAAGGCCACAGGATCCCTACCCTAGATATATAGCAGGGATAGGAGAAGTGCAGCCCTCCAAAAGTTGTTAAGTGCAACTTCCAGAATATATTGAGAAATACTCAATATATTCAACAACATCTGGAGATCCACAGAGTTCCCACCCTTGATCTAGTTCCTTGCACCCTCCAATGCTTTTGTTTTTTTTCATTTTAAAGAATTTTACAAATCAGAAACATGACAACACATTATGATACATTTTGGACAAGAAAAAAACACAAAAATAATAATTAAAAAATCCTGCTACTCACTAACATTGCCTTCTCCCCTTCCTTAAAAAAAAAAAAAAAAAAAGACTTCCCATTCTCCAAACTAAAGACAAAATGCAAATATCATTCACTTCCTCAGTTCTACTTAACAAAGACTAAAGTTCTATGTTCATTGTGTATATAGCAATTAATACTCAAAATGACAAGTATTTTTTTAAAAAAAAGTTCCAGATCCCTTTGAAATTTATCCAAGGGCTTTTCTCTAATAATTGTAGACATATCTCCATTACTATCATTTCAAAGATCTTTAATGTCCAATCTTTTTTTGTAGCTATTCAGATTCTTCCACTTTTGAGCATATAACAATAGGAGCTAAAGTCATAGAAAAATCATAGAATGTAACACTTTGAAATTTAATTTCTTAATATGCGCAGTTGTTTTGGACTATAACTCCTTTCTGACTTAATCACTAGTAGCATATCTAGTAGCTGGGGATTATGGGGGTGGTAGTCCAAAACAACTGGGAGGCAATAGATTGTTTAACTTCTTTGATACTTATATGTAAAGAAGGGGCTGAATGCTCTTTTTATTCTTTAAACATGTTTTAACTATTTTTTATTCATTAAGAAAGTGACAAAGAATTTAGAAAGCAGGGGAAATTTTTTACTTTTCAGCCACCAGGGGGCTCTTTTGCTAAGGAAATGTGTCATCACAGTTAAAGAATTTTGTCAGTATGTAAAATCTGATTTTTACATCTTAGGACCCAGGCTGCATCCGCACTGCAAAAATAATCCAGTTTAATACCACTTTAACTACCATGGCTATGGAATTCTGGGAATTCTCATTTGTTGTGGCACCATAGCTCTCTGACAGAGAAGGTTAAATGTCTCCTAAAACTACAATTCACATGAATTCCATAGCATTGAGCCATGGCAGTTAAAGTGGTGTCAAACTGGATTACTTCTACAGTGTGGATGCAGCCCACGAAGCTCCTCCTGAGCCAGACTTTTTCATGGAGATGATGGCTATTCCATAGATCCACCTAATTAATAATAATAATAATAATAATAATAATAATGTTTATAACATTCTTTCCAGCATAGGGTGGTACATCAGAACATAATCAATAAAAAGTTAACAAGACACCACACTATGAAATACTAAAATAATATACTTGGGACTCATTCCCACTTACATTTAAACCGGTTTGTGATTTGCCTTTGCTCCGTGTCGGTGAATTGATTCCAAAAGGTCCATCGTTCCCATTATGAAAGCAGATCTTTTCATT